CACTTAGTGAAACATTTCTCCATGATTCAGCATGCTATTTGAAATCATTCTCATAAAAAATAGTAGTAAGTCAAATTGACCTTTGTRGAACTTCCAACCATTGGACCCTATTTGGCCCTCTGGAGGTGCCCTGATGGAGTCTTACTCTTGCTTCCCTGTCAACCATGCAAACGTTTGAGGATAATAAAGACRTATTGTCCCTTGGTGTCCACTTCCTTACCCTTGTTGTCATTGGGCATGTTGAGGTGCTATGTGGTGTCCTTACCCTGGTAACTTGCAATATTACTTTTAACCTATGATGCTTTGGGCAACTAGRACAATTAAGATGTGGCTCCATCCATACAGAGTCCTGTGGGTTCTTGACTTTTTTCATAGCTTGATCAGCTCATGTGAAGACCAGCTTAACTGAAAATCCYRAAAAATGTCTTACTTCAATMRCTATTAAGCTAGAGACATCCTTTTWACTTTATCTCAAATATGCATAAATGCAGTCAAGTTCATTAAGGAAAGTACTGTCTTGGCATGCAGAGTGAAGAATGCAGTAATGCTTTCATTCCTGCTCAAAAGAGTGTGGCTCCTAGCTATTGTGGTTCTGCATGTTTAGGATGCAGTTTTTGTAGGCTGCTGTTCTCTGGTTTACCATCTCTATTTTATTTAGGTGAAAGATCATTGCTTAACCCTGAAGGAGGCGRAAGATTTGTGTAGACTGCATTGTCTCAGTGTGGTGTTTCTTCTCCACTTGCCTCTTTCTCAAAGAGCACRTTCCAGATTTATCACTTCCCATTGGATTAAAGGCGCTCAGCCTTTTTTGAAAATGGTAAATATACTCTTTTATTAGTTTATTGTTCTTTTGTTTCCCCCTGTTTGGTGGATTAAAAACCACAATCATCTTTAAAACAGATTTATATGTGCACAGTATTGGCCCTTTGGGGCTTTAAAGGTTTGATTGCTTAAATCAATCACTTATATAGTTTCAACAACTACATTTGGCAGTAATAACAAAATGTCATGATATATATCCAAAGTAAAAAGTCTTTCTATCTTTYCTTCTTCAAATATCTTTCAAGATCAGGTTTTTATATCATCCACTGTAGGAGATTGTTGGTGACCAAGCATTCTACTCTAAAAAGGAGCAGAAGAAACCAATGTAATACTTCGTTACTTTGGGGTCCATTATAGATGATATAGCTGGCTTCAGGAAAATAGAAAATAAAGACTTCAGGAAAATAGAAAGAAAAAGCAAAAGAAAACTTCCCTAGAGACCCACCACTCAGATCATTGCTGGCAATTGTTAATATTTTGGTTTATTCTTTTTGAGTTCAAATGCATGGATTTTTCTGTTGTTTTTTTACATTGGAACCACACACACATGTGCACACAAACACACACATACACACAATTTTTTCCTTATATATAAATAAAAACATATTTTTTTCACATCACAGGTTAGCATTATATATATACATATGTATGTTATTATACATATATATCATACATAAATTATATATATATATGTATATATATACATATATATATAGTTTTAGATGGACACAATATCTTTATTTTATTTATTTTTATGTGGTGCTGAGGATCAAAGCCAGTGTCTCCCCTGTGCTAGGTAAGCACTCAACCACTGTGCTACAACCCCAGCCCCTAGTTAGCATTATTTTTATGTGAATACTAGTTATCTTTTAATGGTCTACTTACTGATTTCTCTATTATGTAATGTTATAAAAGACTTTGATATTTATGCTATAAATGCTGTTATTGTATGAGCTTTTTCCTTTTAACTTGAGGTTATTCACTTTGGCTTGATACCCAAAATGAAAYTAAGTAGAATAAATAATATGGACATTTTTAAGGATATTGATACATGYAGTCAATATGTTCAAGAAAAGTGTTCTATACCCAATCAATTAMTTAGAAGCCAATCCACAAACATTTTCCTAGAGCMTATGTATTGTGCTTATCTTGGGATAGGTTAAGRAAAAAAACTTACCTRTCCCACTCCAACTCTTTATTAGMACTACATTTTGCAAAGAAGACAGATAATGAGTTTTTAACAATTGCTATGAAGGAGGAACTGTAGKATGTTTTACAATCTGATAATATGAAGATCCAACCCAGTTTGCAAAGGATGGTTTTGCTTCAGAAGTAAAGTGAACCAAGTCCTGAAGGATGGGTAGGAGTTAGCAGGATGGGGAAATAAGGAAAACCGGATTCAGAGAGAATCAGCAGCATGTGTGATTGTCCTGAGGATGATATGATCAGGGAGTTAAGATCCAGCTCTTTTAATAGGAATAGAGAGAATGAGGGTTGAAGCAGAAGAAGCAGGTAAAAGACAAGTCAGAGGGGATCCTGTAGGGCCTGATAAGAGAGTGGCCATATCACTTGATCATAAGCACTGAGAATCAAGTGGTTGGTTTCAAGCAGATCAAGGGCRTTTTTATTTWWWWAAAAAATCCCTGCCTTGCAGTGTAGACAGAGCATAGTAGAGGCAAAACAGCAGATTTGGGGATATTGTGTGTCTATTACCTTAGTCATGTAAAGATATTGATGGTGTTAGRGTCTAAGGAAGTGGCCTTTGACCATTGGTGGTTCTGGTTATGTTGCTTGTGTGGAACACTGAAGAGTGATGTAYACTTGAGCACAGCCAGACTGAGTGGTGGGTACCCCTTTCTTACYGAAACAAGGATGGCACTTGCATAAATGCTTTGCATCAAAGACTGGCATGTGAGGTATACAGGAGATTCATGAAGGAAACTGACCATGATTAAAAAGGAATTGATTTGGACTAATTTTTCTGGGTATTGCATAGATTGCATTTATTATATTAGCACCATGTGGATATAAGGTCAGTAATTGAAGGTCAAGTATAGAAAAACACATTTATTGAATATTTTAAGTGTTTGAACACTCATAATTGTTTTAATTAAAAACTTTTTAAAGAGTTTTGGGATGCAGTAAATATTAGATGGTRTGAACATAGCACCATGCGATTTCTGTTGATGCTTATATGAGGAAATACATACCTGTATTCCAAATCCCATTGCAGAACTTTCCTCTAAGTATTTTGATAGTCTTTCAGAAGGCTGTAGTCTATGATTCATTAAAAGAGGGTTAGGAAGATTCCATTTCTAGCTCCTATTTAATTTACTTTAGACATTTTAACCTAAGTCCCTTTAGRTTAATATAGTAAACCTGGTGATACTATGTGTCAGATATTAAAATAAGACATTATAGCATCAGTATTATTATGCTGTAGCTTTTGTTGTAAATCCATWTCTCAGAAATATTTAACTTTATTTTGTTGAAGTTATAGTGATTAAGTTATGTGTACTTAACTACCAAAGGGTATGAATGTAATACTTGTGGTATTGATTTACAGGTAAATAAAAAAAATTTAACTTAAAGTTGTCTTTTATGAAGAATGTTCTATGTAGATTTTTWAAAAATGCATTTGAAAGAATTAGGTAAAAATGACATTGTAAAACTCTGTAAATTTGGGATGGTTTTAAGATGGCCCTGCAGAACATGCTTTCWAACTTATGTGATGGAAATATCAGTCTTTAATTGGGATGACCTGGATTGCTGGAAGTGATAACAACACCACTATTTRTTCTGCACTTGCTCCACATGTGTGTCCTTTATTTGTATCACTTCATTTAGATACGAAAACAGTCYTTTTATTTYTTTATTTTACAATTGAAAAATTGGGGCTGAAAGAAAGTGACCCACAAGCACAAGTAATAAATGGCCACATTGAGATAGGACTTCTGCCCTGTCCAGCTTCAAACATATGCCCTCTGCAGTAGTGTCTGGATTTTCCATGGTCAGTCTCCCTTCTCTTCTTTCCCATTCTCTATAGTCCCTGCTGTTGGAAGCATCCTGTAGCTTGAAATGTAATTTCAGGAACCCCCTGAGATTTTTACAATARAGGATGTTTTTGAGAACTCAGGAAAAAGTAACTGGGAAAATCTGTGGGATAGCTCAGGGAGGTCTACTGTGGACCTTGGCAGTGGAGGCCACACCAGAGGCACTTCTTGTATCAAGTGAATGAAGCGAGGCCCCATTAATTACTGTGATGCTTTCGAATGGGGAAAAACTACATGGCAATCATTCTCAAAGTGTGGTTCCTGAACAATAGTGTCAGCAGCACATGGAAACTTCTTAGAAGTGCAGATTCTTAGGCCTCCCCTGAGACCTRCTGAGTCAGATGCCCAGCAATGTGTGTTTTATTTAACAACCCTTCCAGATGAGGCTCAGGCTAACTTTTGAGAACCATGGTTCTATGGCTGTGTGCAGCTTTTTTGGTGGTTTATTTGTAGATATAACTAAACTATAGGTAAAAGGTTCCTGCTTCCCTTGATATTTTTAACTTCATCGTGACCTTTGGGCAGCCTCCTTGACTTATGTGGTTAGAACCAGGCTGTGTT